TTTGTCCTTTGTGCGAGGTGGGGAGTCAGGGCTGGAGCGAGTTCCCCAGATGGCCAAAAGGTCAAAAATAAGGTCACAGGTGGGATGGGGCCTGGGGTGGGGTGAAGGCATCTGGGGGCCCATTTCTCGGTTATAAACAAGCAGAGAGCTTAACGCACACAAAATAAGTGAGAATGTCAAAGTGAGGCATGAGTCTGGGTGGCAAGGTGTGGGAGGGATGCATGGGTGCTGGGACTGGCCTGTTAGCCCATCTCTGTCCTGCAGCTCTGCATGCCCATGACCCTGTCTTCAAGAGTGTCACACACTCCCCCAAGGTGCAGGTGAGCAGAGGTGGGGGTGAGGGCTAGAGGGGTGGGTCAGATGTGTGTGGACAGACTGGCAGCATGACCTCTGTCCCCCCTCCAGGCCTTGGCCAGAAGTATGGGCCTTCAGATGCCCGTGGTGGTGCAGAGTATGTACATCTTTAAGGTGAGATCTCCGTCCTCCCCAGGCCTCAGTTCACCCTCTGTAACATTGGCAGGCTGCTCAGACCAAGCCATTCCCTACAACGGGCCAACAGTTGCTAAAATCATTATTGTTAAGTTGGTGGGAGAACATGTAAAATTGGTCTCTTCTGGCTAAGGCGCCTGGCACTTAGTTGGCGCTCAGTTAAAAGTTGGTGGTAGAAGGGAAGCCGATCCCTGGACTCCTTCCTCCCTTCTTTGGCTATTGAAAGGCTCTGCTCCCAGCTTTCAAGGCCCAGCTCAGTGCCACCTCCTCTAAGAATCCTTCCAAATCCCCTGTGGAAATAGCGACCCACCTCTGATTCTGCAACCAAAAGGCTCAACTGCTGGCCTGTCCTAGCCTCTCCTTCCAGCCCTCATTTTGTTTGCTTTGCGATCTTGTTAGGTGAGTGTGTGCTGTCTTCTGCACAGACTGGGAGCTCCCTGTTGGGCAGGGTGGTTTTCCTTTTTGCATCCATCCTGGGCATGGCACACAGTAGGTGCTGAATAGCTGGGTGTTGACATGGAATCCTGGGAGGTAGATGCTGGTAGCCAGAGTGGCGTCCTGCAAGACAGCACAAGCCCTGCTGCTCCCTGCTCTCCTACATCCTCACCAGGCTCTTCCCCTCTCTTGCAGCAACCCCACATTGGCGGTGAAGGTGAGCTGAGAGCAGACTGGAGAGCTGGGACATCTGTAGTTGTCAGGTCTTTGGAGGGAGGGAAGGTGCTTGCTGTAATGTCTGTGGGCAGGGGCTGGGCTGGGGAGGAGGAGCCACCTTCCATTCTTTTCTAGAGTAGTGGCTGGGGAGGGAGCCCTTGAGCTGTTGGCACAGTGGTTCCTGAACCTGACAGCAGCTCCTAGCTGGTTATAGGAACAGATTCCTGAGCCCCATTCCCTGAGATCTGGAGCCAGTAGGTCTGCATGGGCCTGGGAATCTGTATTTGTTTTTGTTTTATTTTTTCAAAGATGACCGGTAAGGGGATCTTAACCCTTGACTTGGCATTGTCAGCACCACGCTCTCCCNCGGTCATTTTTTTAAAAAAAAAAAAAAAAAAAAAAAAAAAATTTGCTATTGTAACCATTTTAAAATATACAATTCAGTGGCATTAAGGACTTTCAGGGGGCTGGCCAGTTAGTTCCACTGGTTAGAGTGAGGTGTTGTAACACCAAGGTCAAAGGTTCAGATCCCTGTACTGGCCAGTGTGCCTCCCCCAGAAAAGGATACTTAACCCTCCCATTTGTTTTTTTATTGGTGTTATTTTAAAAACTTTTTTTCTTTTTAAAAATTTTTTGTAACCCTCAAGTTCTATAGTAACAATAATAATAGCCAATAATGATAATGCGCGGCTCTCCATGCCTGGCCAGGGCAATCGCTGCTCGTTCGTTAGCCTATCCAGTCCTACAGCAGCCCTGGGAGGAAGGGCTGGTCTTCTAATCCCCATTTTACAGAGGGAGAAACTGAGGCTTACAGGAGAGGAATGGGTTCCCAAGGTCACACAGAGTAAGTGGTAGTACCAAGGTTGCTACTGAGTGCTGGGCCCCTTGGAGCCTTTTGTCCTTTGTGCGAGGTGGGGAGTCAGGGCTGGAGCGAGTTCCCCAGATGGCCAAAAGG